TGTGTGTCCTACATAACTCAGATACCCCTGCTCATTAACAACTGAACAGATTTTATCCAATTTCTGCAATAGTTAATACATGCACATGGTATGTATTTAAATTTTGAAAGGTACAAAGGTTTGTGGTTAAAAATAAGATTCCCACCTTTTTCTCTTTTCTTGATGATTCCTGGAATGAAATTACATTCGCTGGTTTCTTATGTAGTCTCCCAAAGAGATTCTGTGTATTTAAAAACAGATATGGACACTTTTTTTCTCTCCCACATATAATAAGAGACCATATGCATATTTCTATATACTTTGCTCTTTTTAATTAACAGTATGTCTTTAAGTACTTCTATAGTAGCACATGCAGACCTGTGTCATTTTTTAATGATGCTTAGTACTGCATTATATGTATTTAAGCAGTTACCTGCCTATGTTGTTTCCGGTCTCTTGTTACTACAGGCAAAGCTGCAGTGAATACCTCTGCATGTTCATCGCTTCTCACCTAGGTGTAGAATTCTTGTATATGTTAAATATTGATAGATACTGACAGATTCCCCTCCAAAAGGGCTTTACCTCTCTGGTCACACTACAAAAATATGAGTGTCTGCTTCTCCAAACCCTTGGGAGTACAATAGATTATCCACTCTGGTATTTGCCAATTTTGTAGGTACAAAATGGTTTGCAGTTGTACTTTTTATTTCTATTTCTCTTATTGTGAAAGAGGTTGGGCCTTTTTTTTATATGCTTGAAATCATCTACATTTACTTTACTGTGAACTATTTGCTCTTAATGTTTGCCCACTTTTTTATTGAGGATGTCTTTTTGTTATTCCTTATTAGTTAGCAGAAGTTTCTGGAATGTGAGTGGCACATATTTATTCCCGGTGTGTCATTTATTTTTTGACTTTTAATGTTTCTTTCTCTTATATTGCCATGTAGTAATTTTTAAATATATTTTTTATATGATCACATTTATCACTTTTTTTCTCTTTTAGCTTCTGGGTTTGTCATGCTTAGATGGCCTTCCCATTCTAAGGTTATTAGGAATTCTCCTATGGTTTCCTTTAGTGCTATTATAATGTGATTCTTTTGTATTTTAATTTTGATTGAATTGGTTGTTTTAGTGCTTTACACTATATTAAGGTATATATACTGTGTGAAGCATTGTTTGTATCCTTTTTGTTTCAGGTTCAGATATTTCTATTTTATTCTCATTTTTTCTCATCTGTGAAATAGGGATGATAAGTACTACTGAGCACCATCTTGGATTTTGGTGGGAAGACACCATTTTCCAGACTGAAAGCTAAGCCAGAAGTTTTTCCTTCATTAGTTAGAAGCCTTCATTCAATAATTATGTTCTCTGCCCCAGTGGGAGAATTAAAACTAACATGGATTACAAGATAGCTTGCTTATAGTAAGAAAAAGCAAAATTCAAACTCACCATTTCATGACTGCCTACACGTGGGCCTTTGCTTTTACTTGTGATGCTTAATTATATATTTTAAAACAATATATGTGCATGGCTATTACTGTTGAAATAATTGTGGCTACCTATGAAGCAGAATTAGAAAGTTTCTCATATCATGAATGTTAGGTACCAAAGTTAGTTTTAAATCAGTTGTTTGGAAATCAAAATGATATTCCACTGACACAACATTTTAAATGATGATTAGGTCCTTGGGCCTTGTTACAAATTTCAGATTTACATGTTTAATGACTCAGGATAGGAGGAATGATGCTATGTCAGCTACACATAATAATATTCTGTAGCACTGTTTCTCTGGTAATGTATATCTGAGAGTCAGCTCAGGAAGTGCTTCCAGCCCTGGCAGCAGAAGGGAGGGCTCCTTGGTAGAGGCAGGAGCCATTGGGAAGTAGTTGTGGTCCAGAAAGGAAATTCTGGTCAGGAGAATACATATTCACATTTGTATTAGGGAAAGTAATTTCCTAATATTTGGCAGTGTCTTGAATAGGATACCTAGAGAAATTACGTTTTCAGTATAGAATTTCAGAAGTATCCTTTTTCCCCCTCAGCACATAGTCCTAAGGAGCCTTCTTAAGTGTAGCCTGAGAGGCTGGGGTCTGGAGCTTGGTTGGTCACACAGGACAAGGAGGTAGAGAGGATGTGGGGGGAAGGTGGACCCAGCTTTGGAATATGAGAAACTAGAAGTCACTTAGCAGAATATAGAAAGTAATGTGTTCGGAGTGAAATATGAAGAGACAGGGTCATCTTTCTAAAAAGTTGGATTGAGCAGAAAGGGGGTTAAGAAATGTACAAAGGCAAGTGACCAGCTTTAGGGAAGTTTGCAAGCATTAAACAGGGTCTCAGCCACCAACATGCGTTCAACGGAAAGAAGGTTTTGGGGGAGATAAGGCAGGAGGCAGATCTCCAAGATAAGGGCTCAGTCACATACAGAAATAAGGTAGCCATTTAACTACCTTATTACCTAGGGCACAAGATAAGAACTGGGGCTCAGGAACAAGGAAAAATCTGGTTGTCAGGACTGATGCCTAAGACTACAGTCACGTGCCACTTAAAGAAAGGGATACGGTCTGAGAAATGGGTGAGTGTGATAGAGTGCACTTACACAAATTCACATGGTATAGCTTACACACCTAGGCTATGTGGCATACCACAGTCATCTATATTTCTCAATGACACAGATGTCATAAATGTAATGACAATTAGGAAAAGTTGGCTAATAGATTTTTAAGTGGTATTTACGGGGAGCCAAATCAAATTGAAAAGAGAATAAAGTTCACCTGTTGCAAATACAAATGACAATAGCTTGGAATAAGAACCAAATTATAGCCCGGCCAGCATGGCTCAGAGGTTGAGCATCGACCTAGGATCCAGGAGATCACGGTTCGACTCCCAGTCAGGGCACATGCCCAGGTTGCCAGCTCAGTCCCCAGTGTGGGGCATGTGGGAGGCAGCCGATCAATGACTCCCATCGTTGATGCTTCTCTCTCTCTCTCTCTCCTTTCCTCTCTCTGAAATCAATATACTTAAAAAACAAAGACAACCAAGTTACATCTTACTCTTTGATACACTGTGCACACTATCCATGTTCTTTGCTTTTCTTTCTGTTTTCTGCCTGTTTACTGCTCATTAACACCTCCACTAGGAAGTGGGAAGGGTGATGACAAGAAATAAAAATGCAAGTTGAACTGCAACAAGAATTAATTTTTTTTAATGCCAACATAAGAATGTTATAAATATCTCAATTGTAACCGTAAATTGCTTCCTTGGTTAGTATATGGTATTTTGAATTTGCAAAAAAATGATGAAGAATTGGAATACATTTCATACCAGAGGACAAGTTAGTAGAATGTTATCAGTGGAAAAAACCACATTGATAGACTGCAGGAGCATCTGTCCCTGCAAATAGGAACTGCAGAAATAGTCATTTAAAAAAAATGAATTAGCAAGTACACACTTAAAGTCTTAAGTCCTAACCACATTTCCAAAAGCAAATTGCAAAGCGTGGCTTAAACGTGGAAAAACTGAGGTCACTTGCTGGAGTCAAGGAAGACATTTATAATGGAAAGATTTTTTTTAAAGTTATTTTAACAACATTTACAAAAGAGATTTGGGGTTGGAAGTACATCACACTAGATGAATATCAAAACATTAATATTATAGCATGTATACTATTTTGGTCTTTATATTTTATGTCTCAAAATTTCGACAATAAACGTGCATTGATTTTATAGTCAGAAAGTAATTTTTAAAGAAAAATTTTGTTTTACTTCCCTTTGTTCATCTGTCAGTGGAATTGGTTCCTTGAGCTTTATTAGTCAAACCCGTCTCACAGTGGGATAGAGACAGGGATCAATACTGGGAATTTCCATCATACAAATGATTTTAATGATCAGACCATGGAGTTTAATACTAATATAGTCATATACAGATACTGATTAGGTTCATCAGACTCCTTCCAAGTAGGAAGGACTTTTAAAATTTGAAGATAGAGTGATCCAACTTATAGGCAATTGGCTAAAAGAGGGAAGACACAAATTATCACTGTCAGAAATTAAAGAGGGAACATCACTATAGATCCTACAGACTTTAACTGGATAATAAGGAAATATTACTAAAAAATGTATGACAGTAAGTTTGGATCATTGTGGAAAGCATCCTATAGTGGCAGTAGCCATCAAACAAGAACCAGCATGAGAACAACAAAAATCAAATCATTTATTAAGTAATTTTATGTGTCACGTCTTGGCTAAGCTAAGTAGAAACAAATGAAGAGCCACCAAATGAGAAAAGCAATGGCTATTTATTCAGAGCTTGCTATATATAAAGGGAATCAATTGCATTTTGGCAGATACTCAAAGACAGGCAGAAGAGTGAGAAAGCTTTATAATGGAAAAAGAGGCAGCTTCCAGCACGCCCTGACTGGAGGCTATTTGCATAGGTAAGCTGTAGGTGGCTAACTAACAACAGAGCATCCTATGTGATTGGTTAGTGTTGCAGCTTTGGCTCTTTCTGGTTGGTCCTAAGTTGGAAGTGGGAACAAAAATTAAGGAAGCTGCCCGGCTGGGCGTGGCTCAGCGGTCGAGCATCGACCTAGGATCCAGGTGGTCGGGGTTCGATTCCCAGTCAGGGCACATGCCCGGTTATGGGCTTGATCAGTGACTCTCTCATCATTGATGTTTCTGCCTCTCTCTCTCCCCCTCCTTTCCTCTCTCTGAAATCAATAAAGATATATTTAAAAAAAAAAAAATAAGGAAGCTGACAGTTATTAAGTCCTGGGGCCATTTTTGGCTGGTTGTTAAAGAAGTAATTGTTTTGTTTTCTGGATTGTTGTTGGAGATAGCAGTCTGATGTCCTACAAGTCTGATGTATAGCAGCTGGCTTGCTGGACCATTTATTGTATATAAGGGGGTTGATTTTCTGGCCAGGTTGCAGGTCAGAGTTCTATTTTTATGCATAGTCTGGCCATTGTTTATGTATTCACTCCTTCAGCAATAAATAATATAGCGATGCACCCTTTATTTTGACAGTATAACAAAGAGAATCCAGTCCTCCTGAGAGCATCTGAGAAATCTTCACAATGAAGGCAATATTTTAAATGAATCTTGAAGTCTAAGGCAAAGAGAAGAGGAAAAGAAAATGCTACCAGAGATTACAACATCTGCAAAGAAACACACAGGCAAGTGCATGGTCTTTTTTGGGAAGCAGTGACCTTTTAGTGAAGCCTGAGCATAGGTGGGTGGGGGACAGAAGATGAGCCAGGAAAAAATGTTGGAATCAAAGTGCAATGGACTTTGAATACTGCTCTGACATAACCTTTATGGACTCCAGGGGAGAAAGGAATACTTTCAAGACAATAGTTATAATACTAGATTTGTGTTTTAGGAAGATAATTCTTGTGGCAGTGGAAAATATGCACAGGGTATGTCAGGAAACTGGAAGCTTACACGAAAGCTAGGTTGGTATTTTACAAATTGAAGGAAATGATGATGAAGGCCTTGATCTGAGCAGGGGTAGTGGGGATGGAACAGAGGGCAGATAGAGATGACCAGGGTGGCATCTCAAACACAAAGTGAGTTCTCCATAAATATGTTATTGAGTCAATAAATGGCACATCTAGGAAGTGGAGTGGATTGGGCTTGGTGGCTTAATTGGATGTTATAACATAAAAAGAAAGAGTCAAGAACTATGTTGATGCCATGAGCCAAAGCATGAAAAATAGGGACTGTGGCAGGTGAGGATGTCAGGTTCAACTTTGAGCATGTCTTTGGGGCTTATAAAGTTGGAATGGTGTTTTGGCAATGTGGTGTGGAGACTGGGACCTGGGGGTTACTGGTAGCACATAGAGAGTAGTTGGAATCATGAGAAGGGATGATTGGTCAGAAAGACTTTTGAAAGATAAGGAAGGGTGTTCAATCTTTGAATACTCTGAACTTTAAACAGTAGATAGAAGAGGAAGCAGCAGTGATTGCCAACTAAAAAACAGTCCCTGTGCTCCTTTGGAATTTTCCCCTTTAGATTGCTTTATGCCCGTTTAGTTCTTCTTCTACTTAGTGGTAAGGAGATGAAACAGATCACTTTTTAAGAAAAACTGCAAAAATCAAGTCGTGTGGACTGTATAGAACTCTGAAGATTGAATTCTTTGAATTGTGGACTTTGTGTTGGTGAATGACCCTGTGGCATAAGGGGACCCAAGTTGGAATCCAAGCTCACCCTGTTTCTGTGACCTTGACCATGACACTTCTTTGTACCATGTATTGAGGTTAATTATATCCATCTTAAAGAGTTTTTATGATTAAATGACACAGTTCTATATAATATAGGGTATCCCTCCAAAATGTATTTTTTGATAGCTCAATTGATGTTTCTTTCTTTTCATATTTAACCCATTGGAATTAATAATTATTCAAAGTATGTATATATTTTTTGGGACACCTTGTATATATATATGAGGCGCCTAATGGTAGCTAGTACATACTTTGTGCTCAATAAATAAAAGTTATTATTATGAAAAAAGCTAGAAGAGTGACACCCAAGAAAAGCTGTAAATACAATTTGCATTTTACTCCATGCAAAATTATTTATATTGCAAAGAGAATCGCTTGGACTTAAGTTTTTTTCTCTTAGCTCTTTCTCACTTCAAAAGTATTTTACTTCAATAGAAATCAATTATGTGTTTTTCTAGAAAAGAATTTTTTAAAACTTTCAAAATGACATGTTATTATTTCTTTGGTGAACATATATACTTATCATTATCCAAAATTACTCTGAAGATTATTTCCTATTATGGCACTTCTAGGTAACGAGCATTTATTGGGTACCTACCATGTGTCATGTGTCATGTTACTATGCTCAGCACCAGAATCCAAAGATAAATAAAGCTGCTTCTGTTGAGAGATTCATTCACTGAGTAAAATATTTATTTAGAACCTACTAACAGGCAGGTGCTTATCTTAGTGGTAGAAATGCAGCAGGGAATAAAAGCACACAGAGACTTTGAACTTTGACAGGCTTCATTTAAGTGAAGGGAGAGGCAAAAAAACAATAAACAGGTAAATAAAAAAGATAAATGCAGATGGTATTCAATGAAGGAACAAATAAAGAAATAATAAATAGTGAATGACTAGAATAGACCAGCAGGTGTGACCAGCTGGCCTCTCTGGGGGTGGGGTAGGTGGAGAAGCATGACAGTAATGAGTCAAAATAATTGTTGTGAAACAAAGCTATTCAACATCACCAAAGCAGCACAGTGGGGAGAAAAATTATAAATGCTGTAGAAATAAATTACTTTGGAATCAAATTTTAGTCATTTTAGGTTTTATGTGTTCATATATCTTACTTTACCCTCTTGAAGTAGGGGTAAAACTTAAAATAGGAGGAAAAAACCACCAGTTTTTAAAGATTCTCCTGAATAGTCTTTTGGATAAACATCTTGATTGCAAATTAAACTCAAGAATGATGGATATAATTTCTGTTATAAGTAAGATTTTTGTGTCAATAAACCTGCAACCAAATAAGTCTTCATCTTCTGTATCTTTGAAGTCTAGGCCAGGGGTCTTTAAGTTTCTTAATTATCCAACCAGGACTTTGGAACTGGAAAGGACCATCTGTCCATGTCACCCTTATTTTGCAGAAGGTGAGATGGAAAGAAATAACAGAAAGCAAAATAACAGAAAGTTTAAAAAGGTAATTGGCAGAAAAAGAATAAAAACCTTGGTTTCTTATCACCAAACCCAGTGGCTGGAATCTTTTTCAATTTTCTCATCCATTTAATCACCTAGTGCTTCTTATTTACCAGGCACTGGATTAGCCTCAGGGTATCCTGAAGAGTAACAAGTTCTTTGCAGGAAATCACCCTCTCATTCCATAGAACTCTGTAGTTGCTGAAAGATGTCTCAGTGAAGCAAATTATAATTTACAACCTCTCAAATGCAAAAGTCATTATTGAAAATGTCAAATTGACAAGTCCTTGAACATGCTTGTTTTTTATTATTCTGCATTAAGATTTTTTTTAAATGGTATTTTAATAGAGATGACTTTTGAGTTATAGATTTTGACTTTCAGTTCAGACCAAACCTTCTCCCCAACCCCCAGCTCTTATATCCAACTAGTTACTTAAAATCTCCACATGATTGTCTGTGATTTCAAAATTAATACATTTCAAACTGAGTTCCTGATTGCCATCACCTCACTTCATCCCGTTGCCATCTTCCCCAACTTACTAAATGCCAACTCCATTTTTTCAGGTGCTAAGGTCAAAAAATTTACCCTCAATCTCTCTTTTTCTTATATTTTACATTTCATCTGTCAGCAAATCTTATTGGTTCTATTTTCAAAATTCATTGTAATCTATCTTTTTAATCATCTCCACTGCTTCCAGGTGGTCGAGCATCATCTTTGACCCAGATGATGCAATAACCACACAACCAGTCTCCTGCTTCTGTACTTGCCCTCTTATCACTTATTCTCAAAGGAGTAGCCAGATTGATCATAGTAAAATATAAGTCTTCTTTGCCCAAAATTCTGTACTGGATTTCCATCTCATCTAGAGTGAAAGTCAGTCTTTACAGTGGCCTAAATTGCTTGATAGAGTCTGTCCACGTTAACTCTTAGATTTTATCTTCCACTCTTTCCTACTAAGCCTCTCTACTGCAGTCACGCTGGTACTTATTATTTTTGAAACACACCAGTCAAGTTCCTGTCTGAGGGCATTAGCACTTCCTTTGTCTTATGTCTGTGATAGTTTCCATTAGACGGATGCCAGGCTTGCTCATTCCCCTGGTGCAGAATGAGCCTTTCTGACCAATATATTTGAAATTGCAAAGCTCTCACCAGCCCCAGCACTCTTCAATTTCCTTCTCAACTTAAGTTTTTTACATATTTTATCTAGCTATCTGTCTGTCTGTCTGTCTATCCATCCATCTATCCATCATCTCTCTAGCTGGAATCTACATTTCTCCGCGAAAAGGAAAGCTCTGAAATTGTTTGTCCTTGCTGTATTCATTGCTAAGTCCTCGGCATTTGGTAAATACACTGTAATTATGTGACGAATGAAGGGTGTTATCTATAGTAGTTGTACAATATATATTTTTTTCTTTTTAAAAGTTAAGATGTTTTGTTTCCTTCTAAGCTTATTTCTTTTAAAACCCATTTTAATTATTTAGATAACATAGAGCTTATAGGTCAAGAATAGAGTGGGAAGGTGTATTAAAACCACCTTGCCACATCCTCAAAACAAAATATTCATAGAGACTTAGTTTTACAAATGTCAAAAACAAGCCATTCTGCTCAGAAAAAAAGAGAGGAAATGGCCAGGGGCTAGAAAAGAGAGAGAAAGTACAAGATAGGAGCTAAAGTTGCATGCCTAATAACAAGCCTGGACCAGTTAGGGCAAAAGGAGCTGGAGTTTCAATGCCTGCCTAGGAGGATTCGAATGTGTGTTGACTAAGGTGGAGGACCAGATGGAGACCAAGAGGGAATGGATCTTTATAGAGAGTGTGGTACTGAATTAGTTCCACTCAATGAAAAGGAAGAATCACCATGAAGACTGCAGCCTGGCCCACATCCCTTGTATGGGGTCTAAAATTTCACAATTTGTGTGGAGCAGGATCTCCAAGGCTCTAATTTAAGGCCAAGTTTGGAGCCATGAAACCCAGAGGGCCAGACTGTGGCCCATCAAACTCTGGCTAGTGGTTGCCTCTGGGGGAAGGGAGGGGAAAGGGCAGCGGTCAAAGAGCACAAGTTTGTGTGTAGGTTTTGTTGGAAGGATGAAAACAAATATGAGAAAATGTTAACTTCCAATTATTGATGAAAACATGGGTGTTCTGTTATTCTGTAAACTTTTCAGTCATTTTAATATACTAATTATTTTTAAAAAGAAAAAAACTTAAAAACAAGTAGGAGTAATTTCTCTAGTTTTTCTGTGGCTTAGGTCTGTTTCCTATATACTTCATTTGGTAGCATCAAAAATGTTAAAAACAGGGTAAATACCAGTATATAGATATATATATATAACTGTTTCTTGTCATTTATAATGCATTACAATCTGTTAAAAAGTACTCTCTCGGGATAAAAGTTTTAAAAAAGTATCACATCTAATTGTTTCCCTAACCCTTGATCAATTGTGATA